CAGGTTCAGAAGCCAAAGATAATCTTAAGATAATCTTGAAGCTACAGTACCAAGCTCCACTCTAGCCCCTCTGCACCTCCAACCTCAATTTACTTTTAACAGTAGAAAACTCAAATATGACTCATTTTCTAGTCAACACAAATTATTCATCATTTTTACAATAAGTACCTTATGTCAAATTACTTGATATTTTCAAGACCGAATTCTGAAGAGTGTGAGATAGACTTGTTGTTGACTTTCAAGAACATGAGGATCTTGGAAGATGAGAACCCAATGAAAAGTTGCTCTGCAGAGGCAAAGGCAGGTGGATCTCGGTGAGTTTGAGGGCAGCCTGGTCTACAGAGTGAGTTCCAAAGCAATACAGAGAATGCCTGTCTCAAAAAACCAAAAAAGAAAAAAAAAGAAATAAAAAAGAAAAGGTGCTTTGCAGAAGGAAGAATCTCCTGTCCCAAGCTCATTGAACAGCAGCTGCATTGAGAGCACTAGCTTGAACAGATAGATATTTACATTTTAAAAAATAAAAATAAAGTAGATTTTTAGAAATGACTGGAAAACTGAAATATGTATCTCTTGTGTTAAATTGGAAACCACTAAATTTTCTTTTCCATGCATGTAGAAAAGTCAAAGAAGGAAATCTTGCCATAGTATCAATTACCAATACATTTTCTATTTAGTAAATGAGTAAAATGGATTCAGCATAACAGCTTTTGGGGTAACTTAGAAATTACTCAAAATCCCTAGGTAGATATAAATATATATGCCTTCATCCTAAAGACTTTCAGCCATTAATAATAAAAAAGTCAACTCTTTTTATGCAAATAAGTCTTCTTTAAAAACACAGCACTAGTATCTTCACTTAGTATCATGAAGCAAGATTAATGTAAAACACAGAGAAATTATCATTTAAAAATATGTAAAACTCGAGTAAGATGAACAATGTCTTAGCACGTTTGTCTCAAAGTTAGTCCAATACAATCCTGAGAAGTCTGCTACCTACCATAGAGTTAGATGTGCTTAACTCTACATCATGGATGACTGCAACCACCTGGGGCTGTTCATTACCAACACTCTTGAGAAATGCTCAAAGCAATAATTAAAATATTTCTCAAGATTTGCTGGCAGAAGCTTTTGGTATTATGGTACATTGTAGAGACATAAATAATGGCTGAGTAATAGATGGTTCACGAGTAAAAGGGACAGAGTTAACAGTCTACAGTACAGACACAAAATGTGTGTTTAATGCAGATAAGACTTGTCAGCAGTGGGTGACAAGAGCCATCCTGTAAGGGACAGTCCAGGACACATTATTACTGAAGATGGTGGGGTCCTCAGGACCCTGCTCTGTCTTTTCTAAATGCTTTTCATAAAACTAGTTCATGGCCTCAGCTACTATCAGGAAATGCAGAAGAGCTACAGAGAGTATTTCCTGTAAGATACCCAGGGACATTTGGGTGAAAATAACACACAGTGACCTTCTTATGAGTCATGTCGGTCACTTCAACTAGCATAGGAAATCCAGTATGTATACATAAACTGAGATTGAGTAACAAGTTACTATTGTACCTTCATCTCTTTGCCTAGAATTCTGCAATGGTATTTATTTTTGCTACTGATTAAGCAAGAATACAGTACCTGAAAAAATTACAATATCACATGTCACATTGGAGACATGAATGTAAATATTGACCTATTAGGAAAACAAGCATTCTCTTATCCATGAAACTAATTTTGGTCTTCAAAGCATATTAAGCAAGATGGTGGTGGCACATGCCTTTAATCCCAGTACTTGGGAGCAGGCAGATCTCTGTTTGATCCAGGCCAGCCTGGTCTACAAATCTACACAGAAAACCCCTGTCTCAAAAAATTAAAAAAAAAAGTATCTTAAAATAAATCCATCTCCAATTGACAATTTATATAGGATCAGAAACATCCAAGTTTAGTAACTGACTCTCCTTAAAAAGCTTCTTTTGAAAGTTGCATTTTAAACAAGTATCCCAAAATGGTGCCAGGAAAGTTCTGTTCATGTATGACCCCAGGAGAGTAAACCTCTAAAAGCTTTACATTTCTGTTTCACTAAAGAATTTGGTGCTTTATATGGAAACAGGACCAACTTGGAGAATATCATCAGGACAGCTCTATGTTCCAAGTACATAAAAGTTAAACCTGAGGGGGAGGAGGGAGGGAAGGAGGGAGGGAGGGAGGGAGGGAAGGAGGGAGGGAGGACACTAGAGTAAGTTATGTGAATATTTCTCAATTGGCAAAAATATAACAATCTTTAAAGATGTATTTATCATTTTTATCTATGCATATGTGTGTGCTTGTATGAGTTTATGTGTACCATGTGCAGTGCTCACAGAGGTCAAGAGAGGACAATATCTCCAATGGAACCAGAGTTACAGACGGTGTGAGTTCTGAGAACCAAGTCCAGGTCCGCTGTGAGTGCAGTCAGTGTGCTAATTCTCTGAGCATTCCTACGGCAATAGTAAATAATTTTACAATTGCATTTCCAAAGTGAGGGCACACTAAGGGTTGCTACTACATGTAAGAAAGTCACCTTCCAACAAAGTCATTCATCTGTTCTACTCTCATATTTATATAAAACATGTTTATTTTCCTATCTCCAGATGTTTTATCATTTTTAACAGTCTCAAGTGTGTAGACTCCTTTCTAAATTATCATGAAGGCGCTGCCTTGAGGTCTAGTCCCTGTCTACCTCAGGAGAATTTCAGTCTACTTAAAGGTGTATTCAATAACTATGGTTTTTATCCCTGCAGGATCCTTTATCTGGAAAGTTTCATAAACCATCACTTTCATTTGCTATAACTACTAATAAATATTTAACAAGATAATCTTATTCTTTGGAAATTCATCCATTTATAATTCTTTTGCTTATTTATGCTTACTGTTGGCCTAAACTGACCCAAACCAAAACCCCAGACTCAGATTTTTGGAGACTTAGATTTGGGGAGCTGGAAAGGATATTAAAGAGCATACCCTCCAGCTCCTTCATTTATGGTTGAGGACAGCAAGCCCAGAACAGACAGCTGAGTGACTGACTTTGGGCATGTATCCTACCAGTGGAACAGCCAGAAGCTGAAGCCAGGTCTCCTGATGTCCAGAGAGGAGCCAGGTCTCCTGATTTCTAATCCAAGGATCTTTCCATTACGCATACTGACTCTGTTCTCAGAGGCTCTGTTGGGCTGTTCACACTGATCAGACCACTTTGAGAATGATCACATTGATTAAACAGAACACCTTGATGACCTAGTCACCCAACACTGGGTCATGCCTGTGTAATCAGGCTATGCTGTACTCAATCACCCCTTCGTCCTGTCCTAACGTCTCCATGGCTCCTTGTTGATCACACTATTAATTACAACTCATTACCTTCTTCATACCACTGAACAATTTAGACCCTAACAAGTCTCAGAAAAATTAATAATTCCACTGAACTTTTACAAATGGTACAATAACTTATATCATATTAACTATAATGCAGGAACTATGCTAAGTACTATGTATATTTTAGATATTTCCTCTCCCAGCAACTTGCAAAACAGACATAATGGATATCTGCCAAAACAAATACACAGAGAGTTTAGGGCCAGGAAGAGGCACCTGGAGTTCAAGCATCAACAGATTAGCTAGAACCATGTTCTGAATCTCTGCATCACAGTTCCAATGGCAAATCATATCTGTAGCAGATGGCTGAAAGCTAATAAATGATTAACTTAATAGTCATCAGTGTGCCCTGGAAAGACAGAATCAAGGGAAACAACAACTTCTTCTGTTTGATGAAGTCAAAAGTTCCTTCTTGGCATGAGTGAATTAATACCAAGTGCAAGTCTCTTGTTATGCTACAGATAGACGTAGGGTGGGGTGGAAGACATTGCTGAGGGGAGGGGGTCCTAAAAACCTTTCTGAACGGTATATTGTCCATACCCACACTTGGTAGCTCTGGTTAAACCATAAAGTTGGTCAAAATGCAGTGCTTATGACAAAGAAAAAATTAGTACCTCTCATAGACAGACATCTAAAAATAAAAAATAAAAAAGCACCTAAGTATAAAAGCCAAAGCAACCGAGAAACCTCGGCAAAAGGCTAATGGGTTCCCAATCTTTGCTAGGAATCCATCCGGAGATGTGCTGTATATAAGCCCTGTGTTCCTAGGTAGAAACGGAAGCCTATCCGTTGCAGGATTACTTCAATGATAAACAGATAGGTGGCTACATACCACTAACCACTGAGCATCACACAAGCTTCTCATTCAACAGTCAGATCTTCCATCCTGAAATCTCTGTAGGGACAGGGACCCACCTAACGTTGTGACTCATTCTTCCCTGGGGAAACCTGTCACTGGTGACACTGTGGCTAAATATAAGGCAGACCTTTAAATGAACAAATCTACACCCTTTGTTGTCTTACCTTCACCCTTAGAATCCCCCAGACAGAAGACAAGGTACCATTAGCAGGCAGTGTAATTTTCTTCAACAACAATGCTTTTGAAAAAAAAGGCACATTAAAAAGAAAACAGAATTTAGTTCAAAGCTAAATTACTCTAGTCAGCCCATTTGGACAAAGCATAGGCATTCTGCCTGAGTCAGGCTCTCAGCAGTTTTGGAAGGTGTGCTGTAAAGTAGGGCAAGAAAGATAGTTTTAGAGGCAGATTTCACAGAGCCTGCCACACAGGTCAGAGTGGTCAGCTGCAGACCGATGAGTCAAAAATAGATCGGACCAGAACAGAAACAGTATAAGCAACTTGACCGCAGATTTCCACATTCCAGTGCAGGATTCTGGAATATGAAACACAGCGAATGTGAGAGGTACTGGGAAATACATTTAAATTTCCACAGGCTTCGAGTTTCCCAGATGAAAAATCCCAATAAAGAAGGTCTTTCTTTCCCAGGTGTTGTCACATGCTGGGGAGGACACCGTGAGAGGAGGTGAAACACACAAGACGCTCTTATCTTTGCTCACAGCGTGATATCTTATAACCTTACCTAATAGATTGGTTAACCACAAGGCCAAGTCTTCTTTCATCGGCAGCAAATTAGCTTCATGTCTGCTTGCCAGCCACTGGCTGTACTGATGCATATCAGACAGGCCAGGCCCGCTGCGAACCTTGGGGCTCAGGGCAGTGCACATCATTTATCCACTCTGCACACCTGGTGTGAAGACGAGACAGCTTTTCAGACAGGTTAAAAATTTTTAAATTCCGCCATTATGACACTGTAATAAGGCCCATCCATGGGCTTCCGTGATGTTGGATCAGGGTTTAATTATTAAACCCAGGAGACAGTATTTGTTCTATTCCTTTGGCTCTCTTACTTTTTTGCCAGCCACTTGGTAATAGCAACAATCAAAGGTCAAGGAGAAAATCAAACAATAAATGCTTAGCTCGTGTAAAACGATGTACTCGAAAAGGGGGCAAGAAAGCCCCTCTATGCAAACACAGTATAATGTGGTTAAATTGAGATGTTAATGTCCATTGTTTTTTTTTTTTTTAAGTCAGAGACTTCTACAGAATTTGAGTGCTGAACATCATCAATAACAATACTCCCACACTTTGTAGTGAACACTCGGCAATTGTTGGTAAGATGCATATCTTTTAGATTACAGCACGCAGTTTGTTGGTGATGGCAAATTCGTTCAAGGACTCATGATTAAAATACTAAGTATAGGGTAGGAGAGGAGGGGTCTGCACTACAATTCTGAAAGTCACAGAAGACCAAAATCAGAGGGGACTAGTCGCATCAGTAACCTGACTCCATGACATCACAGCAGAGTTAGGCTAGAATCTTGGTCTTCAAACCCCAAAAGCTCTTTCCATGAAGACACAGTCCGACAGAGTGCATTAATGGAAGTCACTGTTTTAACAACCACTGGATCTGGTGGCCTTTGCTCCTCTCCCATGCTTTTCTCCTTGCTCTGCACCCTCCTGATTTTGTTTTAGATATTGAGTGTTGCTTATAATCATTTTTGAGCAGAAGTTCTTCAAGGTTTTACATCAAAAATGAGAGTGGCAGAGAATTTGCCTAGCATGTTAGAGATCCTTTATTAAAGCATAGCACAATGAAAAGTAATAAATACAATAAGGTGATTTCATAACCCAATCGCTTCACTGCATGCATAGCACAAACATTTATTTGAATCACAGAAAAATGATTTAAATAATAAACACTTTAAAGAACATACATATATTTAAGTATTTAAGTATTTAAGTTGGCCTTAAGTATATCATCTTTGTCTGAGTTGTTGGGGGGGGGACAGGGTCAAGATGGCTTCGAAATGCTATATCACTGAGGGTGACCTTGACCTTCTGATTCTGCTGTCCCACCTCCTCAGCTCTGGGATTACAGTGGTGCTCCACCATACTGGTCTATGGGGAGCTGGGAAACAACCTCAGAACCTCCTACAAGGGAGGCAAGCACTCTCTTACTGAGTTACAACACCACCCCCTGTATGAATTATTTGTATGACCTGATGCTACTTAAGTAAAATAAGTATATTGAAGCTGTCATTTATCTGATATAAAATTATTTCACTTCTGTTTACAATAGCTCAATCATTTCAGTTAGAGTCTACTTCACCCTAACCAGCACTGGCTTCAAATCAGTACATGCATAAAATAACCAAAAAACTATAACAAATGACAATAAACACAATGGTGTTACAACAGGCAAGTCGTTAGATGCATATGACATCCTAGATATTTCATCTGAGCATTTCAAAATGGTAAGTTACATGCTATATTTTGGGTTTTACTCTTTCAAACTCTGCACAGTATCCTTTGCAGTTATTCTCAAACTGTAATTATTTAGATTAATTTCTTTTAAAATTTATTTTTGAATAAATAATCTAGTCCTATTTTTCTAATGCAAAATGTGGTTATCTCGAAAATCTTAGAAAAGACTGTTGGGAGAGGTAGTAAATATATAAAGTATATAATAAATACACAACTGAAAGATACAATTTCATTTTGATGCACTTACTCTTTTGACATTCTCTCAGTATCTGAAATGAAGCATTAGGAAGATGATCTGTGTTTATTGCCCCTTGTCATAGACTGAGTTTGTTAGTGTATGAATTAGGATGTTGCTGATGGTTACTCTGTCCCGGTTAATAACATCACTGCTCCAGAGTTTCTCTAAACTTCTGTGACTAAACATCACCTAAAATATTTTCAATCCCAATTCTTCTAAAATTATGTTCATTCCCAGCAAAACATTACCTTTGTCTGTAGCTAATCAGGATCTTCTACCCTGTCAACATGCATGTAATCAATCAATCATACATCTAAGCACATGAGTCATACATTTAAATAACTAATTGAAATCTTAAAAGGGTTACCTCTAAAATGCCTCCTTCTCAAGACACAATCTCTCCCACTACTTCCCTGAAAGTGCGATATGGTCTCACAGTAACTCTACCTACACTCTATTGTGTGCTCTGTGACTCCCATTGAGCCCTGTGTTGCTCTACAAAGGCAAGAAGACGCCTCGGGTTCTGAAGCTCATTGTCCAGCCCAGAATCCATCAGGGGATCACTTACAGTGAGCCTAATGGCATGTAACAGTTCCAGTGAGTCAGAGGGACACAATCCTTCCCCTCAACGTTTCTAAACAGTGAAGTTGTTATTTTCTTCACAGTAGCACCTTTATTTCCCATGCAATCTCTCTTGTGTCTCATCAGAAGTGTAATCCAAACTATTTCCTAATATGAGCAGATGAATCGCTTTAAAAAAGTAAAGATAAATAAGCTGGGCTTATTTTGATATTTTGTAAATAACCACAATTTTAGGAGAGACGCTCAGTAAAAATGGGTCAGATTTTTCCCAGAGCCCTGTGTGAGAGAAAGAAAGCTTAAGCTTAATTGGTAATTCAAATACTATGAAGGCTAAAGAACTATGACAAATACAGAGAGACACAAAGGTATTTTAACAGACAAGACTTATAAATCCTGTCTAAAAAGAAGAAAGATGAGCAATCTAATTTTTCTTGCTCCATTATTTGTATTTAAAGTAATCACTATCACTACACTGAGCAGAATTCGGTGTGTCTCCTTAAAGTCCCCACATTCAGACCTTAGAATGAGCTGATATTGAGCCAGAGGAGGCAGCACATGCCTTTACTCCCAGCACTAGGGAAGCAGAGGCAGGTGGATCTCTGTGTTCAAGGCCAGCCTGGTCTACAGAGCAAGTTCCAGGACAGCCAGGGCTACACAGAGAAACCCTGTCTTGAAAACAAAGCAAAACAAAAAAGAATTGGCTGAAATTAGATAGGAAACAGAAATGGACTCAGCTAGAAGGAAGAAAATGTGGAGTCTAGGGAATTCAGTGCATAGTGAAGTAGATTCTCGTTGAAATGACTGAACTGGAATGAAAGAATGAATGGAAGCAAAGAAGCAAGCAAGAACACACACAGAGAGGGAGGAGAGGGGAGGAAGGAAGACAGGACGGAAGGAAAAGAATAACGATAATGACAGTAGAAGCGGGACTTGGAGGTAGAAGAAGAAAAGTGGACAGGGGGACAGCATATAAGATGATCAAAGAATATTAGTTATATAATGAAAGTGATAAAAAGTAAAAAGTAAAGATATGAATCACTTAGTGAATACACTCTAGTTCAACTTTTTAAAAAATTCCAAAGTTCTTAATAGTTAGATAAAAAGATAACTGTGGAATTTGATGCTTTTATAATTTGTAATACATATTGAATGTGGCTAGATGAACTCTGTTAGATCCTAAAGAAAAGCTAAGGAAAAGATTATGCCAGTTATTTGGAACACATTTAAAGTTTCTAAGAAAACAAAACGTGTCAGGAGTATATTTAAAGACAGGAAACAAAAAGATCAATGAGACACTAAAGAGAAAAGTCAGGATAAGGAGTTTTCATAGCTTAACAATGAAAGATATTTTCAATAAAAATTATGTAATACAAATATTTTAAAAGATCAATCAACAACTTTGTTAAATATTAAACTCAATTGGAAAGAGTAAGACCTCAAATATGTGTACGAACAAATTCACTAAATGGAACTCCTGCAAGCTTTCTGTGTCTAAATGTGAGTAACTGAACTGTAAGGACTTGGAATATATAAAAAAAAATCTTAAAGGGGAAAATACATTGAAACGTACACAAAAATCCTTCAAGGATTGTGAATTTTCCCTTTCTTTCATAGAAAAGTTGACTCTGGAATAGCAATTATGGATGTGATGAGACTTGGACAACCCCAAGGGAAGAAGAAAAAGTTAATGAGCCTGAAAGTAAAACATCACTTTTAAATGCTGTCTAGCCCAGTACTCCAGAATGCAGCTGAAGACAGAGATTTTACTCTGGAAAAATAATAAAAAAATAATAATAATAAAGGATTCTTCCATGCCACCTAAAGGTGGGCTTTGATTATGGCCAAAATGCTTTCTCCAATCTCTAGAAGGTTAGCATGACAGAAAAAAAACATAATGCATTAGTATACGGAGAATAAATTATAAAGAAAAAAACAGAAGCAAAAACTAAAAAGCATATATTACTCCTGTCTTCTGTGAGATTCCACAAAGAAGACTAACGAATAGTTAAGATATAGGAGATGAAATTCAACTTCCTAAAGTGAAACAAGAGTTCTATGACCTAGTCATTCAGAAATTGCATATACCATGAAACTTCGATATTAATATCTGAGTTGTTCACTGTGCACTGTGGACATGAGAATTTCAAAAATTGTTAAGATTCAATATTTATGACATTACTTGGCAAATATTTCAAGTTCAATGCAGTCTATGTGCAATCTAAATCATTACCATTACATGCCAAAATAAAACATCCAATGCCTTATTTTGGAAAGAAGTTCTGTAGCAAAATAGGGTTTCCCCATATAACTCTCAATCATTAATGTGAAAAGATAGAAGAGATGGAAATGTCAACAGATAAAGTATGAATAAACAATTGCATGTCATTAAAGACCCAAAATCACTTCATAGTGAGGATGCCTCACCCAAGCTTATGTGCAGGATTTTAAGTAGCAAAATGAGTTTATATGGAGTTAAAAATAGTAACAAAGAATACTATACTTTGGTATGAGTTAAGAATAACAAGCTATTAATATGACAACATTCTGTTCTTATTAAAACCAATAGGTGGCTAGAGATGCTACCCAAGCTTCCTTTCTGT